ACTTTGTTACAGTGTTGCTGTTAACATTGATGTGGAAGAGTTTCTAGAACAGCTGGTTTTGCAGAAATCCAGTAATGCACAGGTAGCAATGAAAAAGCAAGAACAGCTGTGCTCCTTCAGAGGCAGAACTACTTAATCTTGTTGGGCCTTGTACTAAACACAAAACCAGACACTTAGTATCTTTAGATATCAACAAAGATACTGAAGATTTCCCCCAGTTTTTGCAAATACATTGAAGATAAAACTGAAAAATTAATATCTATCAGCTGATCTGAATTCTTTTATTGATGCTGACATGATGATGTGAAATGCTGTCCTCATTAAAGGAGCCTACGAAAAATCCCTGTTCCTATATCTCTTAGTAACTGCTGGAACTTACAACATTAAACACTGGTAATGCTGGTTTGAAAAAGTAGTTGCTCTCAAGTATGTTACCAGTATTATTATCCAGTTTAACCAGTAAACTTTGCAATCCCTTTTTCTACCGTACAGACTGAAATCTATAAAAATTATTGAGTAGTGCAGTAAATACACAGAAAAATCGTGATCCACTTGCTCTATTACTGTGTAAATAGATGGGTTTGTGTGTTACTTGTGTGAAGTTCGAACAGTTTCCCCCTTGTATGTGTCAATACTGAAATGACTGAGTTTTTTGAGGGACATACAGAATAAATGTGTAATTGTTAAAAGCAGTTCTCCTAAGATATTGAGCAAGTATGATATGTTTACCTGAGACCCTCCCAATGAAAATGAAATAAGCCTAACAACACATGGCGTTGTCCTCAAGAAAACCATCTGAATCTTCACAAAGTTGATGATGCTTTGTCTCTTTAAAGTAGATCTCAGCTCATATTTACAATATAAAGTTAGGTTAATGTCTAATTATTTAGTCCCTGCCTAATTTCAGGAAGATGTGTGTTTATAGTGAAAGACATTTATTCCTGCTATGGTAGTCTAATGCCTTAGTGATAACTTAAAAACATTAGAGTGGTTTCAAACCTTATTTTACAGCACAGACTTTGCTCATTTATATTATAAATCTTTTTGATTGATCTTCATAAGCACTGAAGGACATTAAAAATAGCATTGAGACTTAGGCTGCTGGGTTTTTTGCCTGTTATTTTTGTTGTTGTTGTTGAATTATAAGTCTTGAAGTATGTTAGATGCTGAAATTGCCCTATTTTTGCTTCATTTTTGCTTTGTTATTACTGGGGCAATGAATTCCTATTCAGTATTACTTGGTTTTGAAGATGGAGGGAGGGATGATGGTTTCTTACTTGGAAAGCAAGTCATTTTTGCAAGTAAGGTTTATATTGGGTCTTGTCATTTTCAGTTTATCACTGCCATGTGAACAGCAAACAACCATAGAATTCTTTGTGACTGTTCATAAACAAGTCAGGGCTGAATGTTGTGACACTGTACCAAAGTCAGAGACAGCCTTCATGGTTGTCTCATCATTTAGCCCTAAAATTGGACTTTGTGTTTGAAAACCTTACAGGTAGAGACAAAAATTGCTTTTGTCACAGGTTACAAACAATGAGACCTTATTTTAATTTGGGGTCACTTAGTATGTAGCAAAAGCCAGCTTAACTTCTCTGTTTCTTTAAGGACCATTGAAGAAATGCCAAAACCTTTGAAACTACTCAGTTTTCTTACATTTCAAAGATACAGCAGCGAAATCCTTGTAGTCAATGAATTTTATGGCTTAAACTTCACATGTGGTAAGTGTTAAAAAAAGTCCATTATAAATAATTTTAATGAGATGTTGATGCTTATTTTCCTTCTTTGTACATGTATCCTGATAAAATAAAGGTAACTTTTGAGTTGCTAAAAAGAACTTACTAATTAGTGAAGACTATGATGCCACATCATTAAGCTAGAGCAGAATTTGATTCTTTTGTTCCAGCCATTTTTCATTCTTCCAGTACTTCCATCTTCCTCTTTTTCACCTCTTATCCCCTCTTTGGAGGAATTTTGGAAGCTAAGTTTATTACAGTCTGGAATTATTTTTTTTGTGCAATATTCACAAATAGAACATCAAGAAAATGGCACAATCTAAGATCAAACATCAGTGGAGGGAGTATTGAGAGGTAACAGCTGACCAAGTATCTCCTCTTAATACTAGAGAGGCTTCAGTTCAAATGTGTTTCCATGATATTTACTGAGCAGCTTGGGTCTGTCAGGCTGTGCTTTGCTGCAAAACAAGAGAATCAGCCAGGGTGGCAGGGTTAGGAGCTAATACACATTAGTGGGGTAAAACTTACAGCTTGGAACCTACCCTAGGATATTTGGGGTGCTGTAGCCAGGTGTCTGTGCTCCTCTCTAAGGCTACATATTTTTATCTATTAATCTCTCCTGCACCTCTTTTTTACAAGATCAACAACAGTTAGAAAACAAATCCATGACTCTATTAGTACCAGTGAACACCTCATTTTTAATGTGCCCTTCAGACAGTCACCATTTCTTGCATTTTAGAACCCTCAACACATATGAACACAGTAAGTCTACCACATGGGGCATCTTTGGTTCTTGATGCCACTCCAGACAATGTGTCTGAAAAGCCATAAATCTTTGTTTGGCATGAACAAAAGAGAGAGCTCCTAGTGACCATTTGTTCTTGCCTTCAAAAAGTATGTCATGGATTAACTGCAGAAACACAGGGCTTGTCTGGTTTTTGTCCATGGTGATGAGAAATACTGCTGTGGGTATGGTTCTTCATGGAAGTGATGTCAGAAAGAGGTGTATTTAAGGCATGAGTAAGAGACTGGAGTCTGAGTTTTAATTTTACTGATTTACCTACTGAAGAAATTGTTTCTTTTGACAGGTGAAGGCAACAGTTCCACTGCAAATAATGCTGCATGTGTTCTCTCTCAAGGCGTCCGGTTCATTGAAGAGAACTATCCCGGGGCATTGTCCCGGTTCACAGCTGATTTCCTCATACTCTATGCTTTCATACCAGTACTTGCCATTATTGCAATTCTGTGCTTCAAATTAAGAGAGAATCACTGACTGACAATGAAAAGGTAGCAATTCCAACAGTCTCTAACAGTATACTTTTTAATATATTATGGTCGAAGGCTTATATTGTTGGATTTTAGATAGAATTTAAATGATTACACACATAAAAACACATTCATCTTCTCATGTTTGTTTTCACCTTGAAAACCAATGTTCTCTTAAGAGTGTGAATGACTCCTGATATTGGTATTCCCCATCCCTCTCTTCTGGTTGATTTCCAGATCAGCCATAATCAACAGTATTTCATGTTTTAAAGGGCTTTCTGATTTAATTTAGTCAGCTACTGCTGATAATTTTTAACAATGTAGCAATGGTGCTCTAATTTTTTCCCCACTATTTTATTTTTTAACCACTACTAGTAAATAGAGGGGTCCAACTGCTAGTAAATCTCATTTCTAGGATTGCATTTTCAGTCTTATGTCTTGTTTTGATACCATTTGAGGAATCCGTAGAGAGGAAAGAAACTAAATATGTGTAAAGACAGAATCAAGAACTCACTCCACTTTAATCTTATACACACTATGCAACTGATGAGTACAGGATCTTGAAGTAGTATCAAAGTTACCCAAGTTGGTTTTGCCTTGTAAATGATAGTAAATCAGTGAAGTCAGGTTATTTATATCAATTCTTTCTTCTCACTGTCAAGTTCTGGAAGCAGTTTATGAATTACAAGGAAAAAAATATGTTTGTTTAATAATGTTTTGGTTTTATTTAATAAAATGTCAGTTTAACTAGGGAAAAAGTATGAAATTTGTTTGTCAGAAGCAATGCTATTTTCATCTTTGGAAATTTTTCTCATGGGCCTTTCAAAACTGAAAACGTAACAGACACAGAATTCCTAACTTTTGTATCTTATTTTCATGTTCACATTTCTTCATGTGAAGAAATTAGTTTTTGCAGAGAGATAGATTTCTCCAAGGACGTAAGTATATTTGTATCTTAAAATTCTGTAATTATATAGCTAGTTTTATATGATAGTTTTGAGATGAGGCAGTTCATAACAAGGAATTTTAAATCCAATCCTCAAGGTAATACAGTGTTTCCACTTAAGTGTATTTTTCTGGTATCTTTATGTAAAATATTCTGAGATATAAATGTTGTATTCAGAAAAACATCTGGTGAACGAATATGTTAAAAATAACAAATAGCTTTAAATAGCTGGAAGGATACAGGTTAGTCTGTCTCTCCCATTTTTATGAGCATATAGGGTTGAGCTGGTTTGCCAAGTGACTGTTCAGACATTCACTCTCTGACAAGTCTGAGCTCTCAGGAGACACCTCTGGCTTTAATCTGGATTGGCTTGGGTATTCTCAGAACACTCAGTGCATCTCACACTAGTGAGGTGTGCATGGACAAAATCCCATTCCTGCTGAAGGCTGAATGTGAATCAATAATACTCTCAGCACTAACCAAGTATCTGTCAAATTAATTAGACTGACTTCCTAGCATTTGAATATATGACAGAAACATCCATCTTCTAAACTCTGTGTGACATTATACATTGCAAGAAGTAAGTCCTGTATTAAACTGTATGATTCTGTGACAGAGAGAATGCACACTTCTGAATTCAGGTCAAAGAAGGTTTTAACTCCACTTTATTCTGCCAGTTTTAGGGGTTTTTTATTAATTCAAATATGTCAAACAATTATGAAAGTATTTCTTAAACTTTGGTTTTGAACTACAAAAAGATGCCTAGCACACTACACAATTTCATATTCTGGGTGTGAAAACTTGTTTATATTTAAATATATGCTTAGGGTAGAAGTATTCAAAAGTAAATCAAATAATGTGTTATAAATTAGGTTGAACTGACTAATGTCAGTCTTCATACACAAACCCACCTGAGAGCAATCTAGAATTCCTTTCTCCCCACTTTTTAAAACTCTTTGCCAGTGCCAAGATAAATTAATTTGGACTGAGTGAATAAACAGCTCCTTTTATAAAAATAACAGGAATGCTCAATAAATACCAACTTCATAGTTTCAACTGCATCAGATGAAATTGCTAATGTAATGTAAAAATTATAAAAATAGTTTTGTAAATGGTGTTAAACCGAAGACAGAGCAGTTCTTCAATCGGAGTCAAAATCCATTTCTTTCCAGGATTTAGAGGCATTTCTTTTGTATTGTTCAAGTTCCTAAAAAGAAACATATATACATGTTAAGCTAATTTTCTCATTACTAAAAGTCTCCAGAAACTTCATGTATTTATTTGGCAAATGTCTGTATGTACAAACACTTTTCACTGCAGAGAAGGTGTAGTATATTTCTGTATTTAACAAAATTATCCTAAAAGTGCTATGAATTTTGCCACAATTGCTGTCATGTAGGGAGCTACATTTTGCTGTACTTTAGATCAGCAGAGTACTAGCAAGGTACACAAATGACCTCATATCAGTCAACTGGGAGCACTGAAGCTTATAGTAGGAATTTCTAGCACCATTACAAACAACAGTTTCCTCTGCTGAATTTTATGTAGGTGTGTGTACTGTCTGGAGTCATTTCTAAAGATTTTTTTCAGCAAAAAATCTTCATGCTAGCATTATGCTATGATTGTTCTGTGGGTGCAAGTGAAGGGGGCAGAGATCAGATTTACAAAGAAAAATAATTGCAATTTAAATGTGCTTTCAATGTGATCTGAATGCTTTAAACGTTATTAGTGCTAGCAACTTATCACAGATATCTCAACATTGGCATAAAGTGGGCTTACATTTTTTTTAAACCTTAATGCTTCTGTATTTCTGTGTTTGTAAATTCTTCATCTGTCAAATGGGGAAGATCACACCTAATCTCATAAAGGGATTGGGAAGAAAGACTTAACTGATGTTTGTGAGGCACTCAGATGAGATAACATTACCACACACTCTCAGAGAAAAAAAAAATTAATACTTTTGTGTTCATTGAAGTGTCTGAATGGCAGGTTGAAAAATCAGGTACATAAAGAATAAGGATGATGAAAAGAAATACTGAACAATTGAATTGAGACATCAGCAAAATAGTATATGATCATGTAATTAAAGACAATACTACAATGTCTACAAACAAGAAGGAAAAATTAAGATTGTAGGAAAAGACTTAATTGTTGCACTTCCTCTGTTCTGAGTGACTGATATGGCTTCAACTTTCCTTTTCATGCAGTTTCTTACTGGAAGTGCCCTCAATCTGGAACATGGTGAAAGCAACCAAGTACTGAAACACTCATTAAAAGTCTTAAGGACAAAAACTTTGGTAGAAAATTTAATAACAGTGCTCTAATAATGCTCTTTAATTTGGTTTAAAAATGAAGTCTTTTTTACCCATTTGGACATGCTTTCACGTGAAAACAAGAAAGCTTGTTCTTGGCAGCTAAGTAAATATTCTAAATAACTTCTTCTCTTACAAAGACTAGCACATGTCCTCCTGTGGAGAAAATGAAAGGTGATACTGCTGTTATGCAGATTAAGGTAGGGGCCTATTATATTTGTGGGACCAAGGCCTCATGGAACAGTATGAAATCTTCTGAGTGAGACTGAAATGGTCTCCTGAAGTTCAGCAATATGATCATGGCAGCAGAGTCTGCTGAAAGAATATGGCTCTCAGTCTGTTGGCCAGCACAGTCCCCATGTCAGCTGCAGATCTGCAGCTGTTGGTTGGGAGTTGATTAGGTTGCTGCAATTTTAGGGGAAATGCAACTATTCTTCCTTGTGAGATGCAGAATCTTCTTGTGTTTATGACTTGGTAAAGTCATAACAGTTAGTTAAGACTTAACAGTTAATCTCTGTTCATTAAGATCTGCTTCCATGACTTGTTAGCTGACACCAAATGGCTCCAGGCATCTCCTTTTTTCACGTCACCTCATGGCGTGAGGCTTCAGCTAGAACTGGCACCAATCCCTGAAGTAACAGCTCTGTGTAACAAGGACCAGTCACCGTGAACTTTGGCACTGCCATCATTTCTGAATCACATGAGTAGAAGGCTCTCCAGGTCATTGAGCTCAAGGCTGAGCTTTATCTGTTGCATCAATGAATGCAGCTGCAGTCAAATGTCCGGATCAAAAAGTCCAAGCACCTATTTTGAGCATTAGCAGTGAAGGCATATCATGAAACAAAGAAAAACCTTCAAAAAGACACCTTAGAGTAAGTCTGCCACTTACATCTGTGGCAGAAAGGAAAGAGAACAGATATTTCCGTGTGCCAGGCTCTCACTGCCACAAACATTTAGAAGGAACTAAGGAACAAGACTTTCATGCTCCTCATAGGTGCTCACTGATGCAGGTGTAGACATGTAGCTCTAATCAGAAACATTATTTTAAAAGATCTCACTCTTATTCAGGTTATGTGTATACCAAAAACCAAATTAAGGTGACCTGAAAGCATCAAAAGCCAAAAAGCTAACAGGGAATGGATAGAGGATGACAAGCTTGCCATGTGGTTTATGTATGAAGAATTGACCAAAACCTAGACATTGAAGGCCTAATAACTATGCAGAATTTTTTTTTTTTTTTGAATCTTGAAAGCCCTGCAAAACCCACAAAATTCCAGTAATTCCTGGAGAAAATCTGCTAGTTAAGAACTACATTAGAGATATAACTTTCAGAAGGGTCCCTGGTGTTGTGTTCTCTCTCAGAGCTTAACTACAGGGAATGAAAAGCAGCAAACAATTCCAACAGCACTATTTAATATAAACCTGTGCTATGTATGTCTGTGGGGCAAGAACTAGGAAAAAAATTGTGAAGAGACATAGTTGAGAAAGAGAGATGTGCTCCATCTTGAAGGAAGGCACAGAGAGGAAAAGACAGCCTCAGAGGGCTTTCCAGAGCAAAAATGTAAAGAAAGAAATGTTAAGAAAGAAAGAAATGTCATAGTTAACTCTGAAAATATTAAGGAGCCAAAATAAGCTGGTCTGAAAGAAAACAGTTATGTCAGAATGTTAATGAGCTGGACTCTAAACTTCTACAGCCAAACAGCATCTCAGATAAATGCTGGCTAACAGTACCTTGGAGTCAGCCAGGGACTTTCTTGATTTTTTTTTTTTTAACTGTTTTCTTATTTTATACTCAAGAATTAGAATTCAATCTTTTACTCTACTAGAATGCAGGCAAACCCTTCAATCAAAATTACAAAGTTGGAAATGATTTATTTAAACTTTGTATTATTGCCACAGTTATCTCTAAATCTGTTATGGCATTATCGAGCAGTCCTGATGAGGCCTGAGTCAGTCAGCTATTGCTGGTTCCTCTATCAGATGCAGTGACAGGGCCTGTGTTTTGCTTCCCTTGCTGGCTTTGTGCTTTTTTTTATTTTGAAGCTTATCTTTGAGATAAATAAGCAAATAGGCTATCATCTGTCGTCCAAAGTAACATTAATTAACTGAAAGTAACCCAGAAAAATGATAACATGAAACCATTCACTGGCATCACATGATACTTCTAATTTTGCATTAGGTCCCATGATTTCATTAGCAACACCTTGCATATTGACCATCTTAAAATACTGGTCCTCCTATGCAATGGGTACCATGAGACACTATAAAGAATGTCAGGCACATGAGGAATTTAAAAAGTTGCTTAAAAATATGATTTTTGTGCTGCTTTCCAATGAACTGGAAAACTGAAGGACACTTCAAGAAACATGGCAACTAGAAAGTTCTTTTCTTTTAGATATGTATTTCTAGCTTGGTGCAATTCAAATTCTTAGTATAAAACATTTTAATCATTTTAATAATGTGCAAATAATCTTGTAAAAATTAAACTTCGTGATAAAAACTTAGGAAATAACTGCAGATAACAGAAGTAATTTTCTCTTTAATGCTCAAATTACTTGTAGTAGTCCAACAAAAAAAAGCTATAATGGTTTGCAATGCCCTTGAACAGATTAAGATTATAAAAGCCTGTCTCTTTTATTTAAAAACAGAAAATTAATAATTTCCTGTATGATTTAATCAATACATACCAGTGTCTTCTTTTGCAACACATTATTATGTAAAAATAACAAACCTAGTACACTATATAGTTATTTTGAGATATGTAGCTATACTCAGTATGGTTGTATTATAAATTCCAAAAGCAGTGTACTTTACAAATGTTAATGATTTCTAGGACTGCTCTTGATGTGACAGAAATTCAGAACTGACACCTACATTAACAGGATATTGCAGGTAATGTGCAGGTTCAAAGGCTGCAGGGGATTTTTGAAATTGCTTTATTCTTTGGATAAATCTTGGTTTGATTTTAACAGACCCATACCTATGAACACATCCATACTGATGAAAACTGTTCTAAACAGTGCTGCTACTCAGCTGATGTTATATACTGCTAGCTGTGAGGCAATCATTTCACCTTCACCTAGTCTGCCACAGAATTTTTCTATAAAATTAATTCCCCACTAATCTAGAGAAAGGCAGAAACACTTCAAAATTTTTAAGAAAAAATAGAAGACCCTTTCCCCATTAAAGGTCTTTCCTGGAATTCAGGGGTTAAGCCACTTGCCATCACTCTGTGGAACAATTCCCTTCACTCTATTTAAGATAAAATGTCCATAGCCTGCAAATTCAAGTTAGAAATGTTATCATCTCAGTACCTTTCCAGTTTAAATAAGTTTTGAAGGAGAAAGACAGAAGAGTTCCCACCACAGACCTTGATACTGCTTCCTATACTTTGTTAGTCAGCACTCAAATGAGAGTACAGAGTGAAGAAATGAGGAAATTACATCGAGAAGGCTTCAAAGTTTATTTTAGTGAGTTAATTTTAAAGTACAGTTCAAGGGAAAATTTGAATTATAATTTCTAAAAAATCTCAGAGCCAAAACTTTGAGATCGAACAATGGTCTACTGGCTTAGTATCTAACATTGGGGAAAAAACCTCACAATCAACTCCTAAGCTGAAATCTAAAGCTGAAATTATTTAAGGACAAAAAGGGGAGGTATGAGTATATACTATTAGTTCAGCAGTGCTGGTGGTTCTGGAATACCTGACTGTGAACAGCATTTAGAGAATTACCACACACCTGGTTTTTCTGAGCTCTCATGACATCAACTTCATACTCAGCATATTGGCTATCCTGTGCAGGGTCCTTGGTATCTTGTAAATCAGAGAAACTCTAAAAGGAGAAAAGACAAAACCCCAAATAATACAATTTATCTTCTTTTAATAAGAAAAAGCCACACTATAGAAATTAAAGTATTTGCTTTTAATACCAATATATTAAAAGCTTGCATTTATGGAACAATTTTGTGCTACAGGACACAGATTAGTTAAAGAAAAAACCTGTCAGTAAAATGAAGAAAAAATAAAAGCACAGCTAGATTCTAAAGGGCAGAAAATATTCTCATGTGGTGGCTGGTTATTATTCTTGGGCATCAAAATGAAAATAACCTTCCTGGTCCATGATGTTAGGGCACAGTTGAGGGTGCCCTTGATAACTATTTAATACTCATTATTAGAATTCAGTTCTGGTTATCAGAAGCATTACTTCAATAGCTGAGAAACTGATTGCTATCTTTGCCAAATATCTGCATTTTCACTTCCTAGCCTTGAGTAAACTATAACTTGAATTCCAAAGAAGCAAATACACTAATAGTAAGAAAAACTGTCACATGAGGAGGGGTTTTTAAATGTTGTCCTGCACATTTCTCCTTAATCATATCAAATGGAAAGTAGCAACAAGGCAATAATACCAGTGATGGAATAAAATAAAGCAGAATTCTACTTCCTAGGTGAGGCAATGGAAAACGAAGGTTACAATGCATAAAAATAGCTTCAAAGTTTAAAGCCTCCTGTGGAACCAAAACAGGAGACTGTGAATCTCTTTGGCAAATGTTTAAATCTTTAGACTGGTACACTGATGAACAGCCATGGAGCTTGCCAGATGAGAAGTGTATTCATTTCTCCAGCTGCTTCAGGGGGAGTTCAGGGGGTACTTGGAGGGGTGGGTGCAGGAGGAGATGTTTATTGTGTTTTTAAAGGCTATGAGGAAAAATAACATGAAAACTAACACTTCTCTATAGTTTCTAAGAAGTTTAGTCTTTATCTTGTTGGGGCATTTTATACTGAGAACAGCATCTTTTATAATTTCTAAATGTAGGAAGGTGACTGAACATGTAGGAGCACTACTACATACAAGCCTTTATCTTTCAAAAATCTATTAAAGAGAACTGCTAAGTGAGACTAAAATTCCAGTCAGTGCACTTGAAAGACAACAAGGAGCAGGGTTGTTGCTGCTGTTCTGTGAGAAAAGCAGCTGTATGCCTGGCATATCCATTCCCACCTTGGGAGGAAATGTTTTCTCAAATACTTTTTTCCATAGTTCCAAAGGCGTGTTGGCACGCATCTTTCCAAGATCACTGTCAGAGGCAGGTGGTGGTCCTGGGGATCACAGCACACATAAGACAAGTGTGTTGTCATAACAACATAAATCACAGAATAATTTTGCATAATGAACCATCTGATTTGTTATTTTACCTTCTACACTGACAAGCTGCAACAAGTTTGAAAAAAACCATTGATCTCCTACCATGAAATGGGCTGAGAAGTTTTGTATATTTTACAAACATTCTTTGAAAAAACCCTTTATCTCCTACCATGAAATAGGCTGAGAGGTTTTGTATATTTTATTTTCTTTCAGATCTAAGCTTATTGGTACTTTAATATTTTACATAGTCCAGAGACTTTATTAAACTACCTAACAAACCTGCACAAATAATTCTCAGTAATATACCGAATCATGATTTTAAAATCTATAAGCTATTTCCTTCAGTAATCTCTTAAAACTGATACTGATGTGCTGTAATTTATCTATTTGCTTAAAATGTTTTTCATGTTTTTTTAAAAGAATGAAGCAACAAACAATGAACAGGAAATGTTCTAACCTATTTGACTCATGGAATCCAGGCCTGCTGGTATAAAGAGAGGTTTGCTGGGATCCACTGATACAGACTTGCTAAACAGAAAAAAAGAAAATGTATCAAGTGACCATTTAGCAATCAACAAAAAAAACCCCCAAGATTATTCTAGCTAAGACTAGAGTCTTCCTGGGGTTTGCATATAAATCATGTAAATAAAATAATGCTCAATTCCAGTGGCAACCTCATTTTTCATTTATCAGTTTGAGGATCAAAACTGAGGAGTTATCACTGTTCGTAGCAGAGATAGGCAGCTAAGTCACAGAAGTCCAAGTCCATTAGCAAAATTCTTTCAGAGATAATATTTTAAAAAAAGTTATTATGATTAAAATGTTTTTATTAAGTAATTTTATGTTCTGAGCAAGACATTTAATAGTTGAACAATAACATTACCTTTTATCGTAGCCAAATGCCAAGTGATTGATAAGAGCACGGGCTTTCAACAGGAGAGCCTCAGATTTACTGGTAAACTAAATGAATCAGAAAACAAAATATACATTAGGAACTTCCATCATAGGTCTGCTGCATTTTGCCGTCTACAAAGAGGATAGAGCCTTTCTAATTAATACCTGACCCCAATAAATTTGGTATATGTTCACTGAATAGACTAGAGTAAAAATCTCACATTCCCTTTCAAAAACATGAATGTATTTGTTACTGGATATTAAGTAAGATTAAAAAGTAGAATAAATAAAGATTAAAGAATAATTTTAAAAATATTGATCCAAAGCTTTTGAAATATGCACATTATGAGACACAGTTCTTTTCCCCAAGACTGAGTTAAGATTTTAAATTGCATTAAATATTATCCAGAATACCATAAACATTTAGAAATGTAATTAATAACTATATAATTGTCATAAAAACAGCTTACAAGTGGCAGAATGGTACAGATTTATCAGAAAGCAATTTTCAGAATATATTCTCAAACAACTTCTTGTCTAAGGGCTTCTTCTTGTCTAAGGGCTTTTGTATCCGAACAGATTCATGTCTTTGAGAAAGAAGTCAGATCTGTGCTGTGAGAAATTAGGTTTCTCCCTCTCATTTCAATGACAATCAGGATTAAGAAGACAAAGAGATTTATATTCTATTTTTTAATTACAATAATGCTTAAATACTAAAAAAACCCCAACCAAGACAGTTGTACTCTCAGTTAACAAAAGTCAAATTCATGTGTCAGAGTGAAAAAAGCTTTACATGGATGCAAAAGAACATGCTGGGATTATAAGTATTCAAAGTAAACATAAATTGTTTTGATAATCCCTAAGATACTATTACATATTATTTATTACATAAACAGTCCTCCTTCAACACCCTAAGTGTAGTGACCTGTTACACATAAACTACTGTGAAAATGAGGCAATGATTTTAAACCTACAAAAGCTCGGTCACTTGATGTAAGTTCATGCTTCTACCAAAAGGCTCAGTTCCCTAATTCGATCTAAGGCAATAACTTTTGCCCATTCTCCTTTCTTGTACAAACAAAAGAATTGCCCAGGATGCAGTAAACTCAATGCAGGAACTAAGGTGGCTAACAGGTAACTGTTTTCATTCAGTGTTTGTTGATACTGGGAATTATGTAGTTTGTTTGCTCACAAGGCATGTCCATCCATCCCTGCCAGTATAGTGACTTGTTCAACAGATAGCCTCATGAAGAAAGCTAGTGTAAAACCAATGAAATCCCATTTTCTCTAGGAGTTTTATAGTACTATTTTAAAAATTATTGTTTTGTAACAGAAATATTGTTCATCTTGTCTATTCTTAAGTAGAAAGTGAAAATGCATACCACTAATGAGGCTCCATAATAATGTGAAACAAATCGAAGTGTCTTGCTTATTATTTTCCTCATTTCAGAGTCAAACTCCTGAAAAAGTTGAGAGTGGAACATAGATGTAAGAAAAAACCCCAAAATACTACAGTTAAAACTTTTCTTTTTTTTTTATAAACTGCAGTGCACTTAAGCTACAATATATAAGGCTTTCAGCTGTCAGCATAATTATATCTTAAGACAGAATCAGTAACAGCCTACTCTAAAAAGAAATGTCACAATTTCTCTTTGTTTCTTTTTTACAGATGAAGCCTAATTCAGGCAATATGTTAGTCCAGGAAAAGTTTTTAAATTGAGAATGCACATTTAATTTTCAATTTATTTGCTTGATATTGTTTTAAATTTTTACCAGTAGAAATGCTGTCTACTAGAAGAATAAGATTTTTTTTTCTTTTTGTGAAAATATTTAAGAAAATCTTTGGGTATATGCTGTCTAAATTCTAATACCTGCAAGATTTGAAAGGTGCATCCAAGTACCTTTTCACCCATGTGTTTCATCTAAGATCATACAGATGGCATTCCCTGGATAAAACGGGTGAAAACTTGGTCCCAGTGATGCCTGCAGGAGTCAATCCCAAAGGAATCAGGCTGGCATTTTGTCCTTATTACATGAGAACCATTTAAGGGGGTCGTGGCTCAGCATAAAGGGAAGGCAAGTCCCTTATTAATAAAGAATTCAGTAACTCAGAGAGTCAGCCAGGTATCAAGTGCACTGTGTAGCCATCCAGAGAAGCACAGGCTGCCAGCACAACTGCTACAAATCAAATATACAGTTCTGGTTTCTCCTGATCAAGTGCAGTGAGTATGCATTTGTTAGGGATTTTTATGGCCTGGGACACAATCCAGCAGTACTATGACATTTCTTTCCTCTCCTCCATAAAAAAATGCAATTTCTCACTTGTCTCTAGAAACTTAGGAAGTACTTTAAAAGAAGTTCCAGACTGAAGCTGCCTCCAAAAATAATCTCATCAGCTGACTTGAGATACACCCCTCTTTCACTGCCATAAACTTACAGCTGCTGTCACAAGGGACACGTGGAGCTGGATTTCTCTCATTATAAAAGGAAATCATCCATGTGGTGTTTTCTTGTTGAGACACAAGTTGCTGCAGACCAAAAAGGGAAGCATTTTCTACATACATTTCAAAAATCATCAGTTTGGGGGTGTTTTGTGAAGAAATGACAGTAGGATTTCCTTAATGCTGTTGGATGGAAAGATTTTTTTTTTTTTTTGTGGTAGAAGACTGGCTGTCCACACTTTAGTTCAAAAGATTACTATTATATTAGTAAAATTTTAGTATATAGAATATTTACTGAGAATAATTTAATTATTAAAAAGGTACTTAAGTATTACTTACATGAAAAATATCATATTTGCTTCCAATTATCACCAAGGGTATTGGAAAAGGGTCAACTAATGCACTGTCCTGTTAAAAAGATAAAGGACAGTTAAGCTCTGTAAACAAACTGTAAAAGATTGCAACTGTTAAAGCAACTGAAAGAGGTTAAAATAAATTCACAGAACACAAGGTTTTCCAAACCTTAAGGTAGAGGAATCAACTTTATTGCAATATCCATATTATATTCTGCCATTTTCCCATTTTCTTCCTAAACGGTCAGGAAGTAATCTCTCTGAGCAGTTAGAACACTCAGTGGAATAAATGGGCTTTTACACTATATATTACATTATTAGATGGGAAAGGAAGAGAGGAAAAACCTCATGTATTCATAGAACACCTGCCTGGCTGGATTAGAAGAACTGGCTTTTTGACACATTCACATTCTTTGGATAAAATCTAAAAGAATGCAGACAAAATCTCAAGAAAAATAAATTGAATTATTTGCTTGTGTCACACATCTGCCCTGTCCACATCATGTTTTCCAAACACACAAACAATATTTAATGTGAATTTCAAATGTTTGATATCCGCACAAAGAGGAAACATCATCCAACAATCTTGAAATGTGAATCAGTATCAATGGAGGAAAACAGGTCTAAAAGTGCAGGCTTATGTGCTGAATAGCTAATGTGGGATAAAATTTTAAAGAGTGAATTACAAGAATTCTCAAGTGATCTGGAAGGGTTTGCTGTAGTCCATATGAAATGAGGCAGTCTCCTTGTATGTTCAGGCAAATATTTATTCAAGCTGCTTTGGCTGCAGCAGTGCAACAAAGATGAGTTGTAGCAGAGGCTGGTCCAACTGCTCCCTCCTAACCCCAGCTATTTCACAGACAGGTTCAATGACAGAATGTTGACAGAGGCTGCACATACTGAAAATCCTCTGCTTGGAGAGGAGAAATAATGGCTTCACTCATACATTGTCAAATAAAAAGCTTTAAGCAAAACTATCACAACTTAAAAAGAGTATATAGAATACAAAATGGAAAAAATAAAGTTTTCATTTCATAACTAAGAGGAAAAATTTGGGATAACATCAGAAACCTTAAAACTAGTATATTGAACCCTATTCATGTTTTGACTGTGGAATTTGTTTTTGACTATGGAGTAGTTTAGATCCATTCAGCCTTTCTAAACAGGGTCTGCAGTTGATATGTTTTGTCATCATAGCAAATAATTCTTTAGCCAGGCCTATGAAATATATCTTAATCCTTAAAAATATAAGTATTTAATTGATTCCTCTTTATAATAAAAATATGTTTAGCCATTGGAAGGCACATAAAGATCTCCATAAGAAATCATTTAATTTGACTATAGATTACAGTATTTTCTTCTAATAAACTGACACAATTTTTCTTTGAACAATGATTAAAATAAGAAGAGAACCAAATGGTAATATAATATTTTGTTTGCATTATTGATGTCTTTGATAATGGAAGATGAACAAATTTTCGTTCAGAAGGTATAAATGTTTTTCCTACAGTGCAAGAATACCAAGTTTTCTTAACAAATAATAGCATTATTATTTTTCTTTATTGCAATAAGCTTGCAATTTTCTGATATGTAAAACCCTATATGAAACTAGACACTATGGTCATAATTTATTGCCATTTATTTGTGCATGTAGGTGTTATCTTTTTGTGAATTACCTTCTCTAAACGTAAAAACCAAAATAATCCCAATATCAAACCCCATATGCTAAATCTACGGAGTGCTGCATATGTGGCTTTCTCATCCATTTTAAGTCACTTTTAAATTTCTGAGCTCTACAAGCACTTGCTGTGTTGAAGCATTTTATAGAAGTTACAGTAGCTAGATTTACATGCCAGGTCTTTGAATTGTTGAATACTTATTTATGCATTATATACACACAACATTTGCAGAGGTTTAACGCACAATGACTTTTCCTTTCTATTGCGCATAATCTAGTTTAGCTTTTCCAGAGATTTAGTTAGCAATTATGTTTAAAGGACTGATGTTAACATTTCTGAAACTTTATAATTTAATTAGTTGTCAGATTATCAAAAGGCATTGAGTTTGTGATAGACATTTAAATAAATGCAAAGTATATAGTCATGTTGATGGCTGTTATAACTATATTCTTTTCTTAAATTTGTACCTTCAGCTAGTCTCTTGCTAGATGACTTTTGTACATTCTAGTTTTCATCTTCATTTTTAAAAGATGAGGGGGAAAAAAAGCAAACTGCTACTCTAAAACTATTTCTTTTGATTGGTGTAACATGCCATAACAATCACATTAGATATCTAACAAAAAGATATAAGAAACCTTCTTTCCTTGTTTCTGCTCTTATTGAATTTTTATTAAATTGCTATAATTTTCCAGTGAACAGGTTCATCTACATCAAATGGATTTTCAGTCATGCATAAAAATCTAAAAGAGTTGTTTATGATTTTCTAAAGCATTATCTTTAACTGTATAAAGGCCTGTGACATCTGGAGAAAATATTAGAAGTAACTTACAGGGTGATCCCTCTGCAGATTGTTCCACATTCTCTGTTTAATTTCAGCAGCTACTTCAGGGTTTGTCTTTTCTAGTTTGGTTAAAATTTTGTTCACATGGTTCCTGGTGAACTGCAGAAGGCTCTCCATAGTGGTCCAGAGTTCATTAGGTTTGGAGAGATCCAACACCAGAACTACAGCAAATGACCTGTGAAATAGGCATTATTTGGTCACATATTTAGCACATGAGGCAGTCAGCGTTTTCATACAAAACCACACCTGCACTGCAAATGTGAACATCTACCTGCTGAGATGGAATTAAATGTGATAGCAAAGCAAGATGGCTTTTAGGGATACTCTGCACTCTGAAGAAACCTTTCCCCTGGCTCTTGTTCAGAGTTATTATTTTGAAAACTTTCAATAAGGCATTGTTTTTGGGGACTGTCTTCAAACAGTAAAATATGCAAATCAGCCCTGTAGTTCCCTCCTGTATGACTGAGGATTTCTGCTGTTATGTATCCCTGCCATCTCCTAAGTCTCCAACCCCAGACCAAGCAATGTTGGCCAATGGCTAGGATCTTTCCTAACTATTACCTGTATTCCCTGTAGACCTTGGAAAGTTACCCACTTTCATTATTCTTTTCTAGTATGAAATGAAGAAAACCTGGTTAAAGACAATATTCTGTGTCATGGACTGGAACCTTGAATGGATGCCTGAGAAAAGTCATCTGAAAGATAAAAGAGTACTCATGACATCCTTAGCTACTACCAGACTTTTAAAGGTGCATTGTTGATGGGAAATCTTTTATATCTGAAGTCCTCTCTTTCTAAAACCCTGCCTCCCAAAACACCAGCTGCATTTAAGTGCACCTGTAAAGGTCATTGCAAATGCAGTAATCTGAATAGCTGCCATCACTCTATCTCATTCTAGCCTGACTTGAAAAAGGGGATTGCAGACCTGAGTGGTATTACAAAAGCTACAAAGCCAACTAAATGTTCAATTTCATTTTAAAATGCTGTGGGAAAGAAAAATCTGGTGAAAAATCTCTTGATATAGATATACTTTGTCTCTTGAAACTAGATATACTTTATGGAACTTTTAAATAAGCAAACTGCTTGAGTACAATGATGAGAAAATCAGCAAAATGCACTTATATTTGTTGAAATAGTAGAATTTTTTCTGGCATGTTAAAATATTGCCTTATGAAGTGAATTGTTCTTACAGAACATTGCTATCCCAGCAAAGAATCTTAAGATTCTCCACATCAGAAAATCCCTTATCAGTAAAAAAGGAAGAAAAGACTGATGGTGGTAGAGCTCAATTAATTTAATTTAGTCAGGGGCTGGAAAGTTATACTTAATTTTTTCTCTCCCAAGCTCTTCTAGAGACAAAGAGCTTCACATGCCTAAGTGTTTTATTTTTATTCTGTCTTATCTCAGCAAATAATGGCATTATCTCAGTAGTCAAAACAGAAGCAAATATACCTGATAAAAATGATATCCCTCCTTTTTCTTCCCCTCAGAAGTTAAGGCTCAATACCAATGAAATAAAGCAATACATCATAATGCAAAGCTCATCTTTTGATCCTTTTCTCCCCTTTCAACTCCCATCTTTCTTAATAAAAAAATCATAAAAAGCACCCCCCATCACCTTGTGATTTCCTCATGCATTTTTTCATGCATTTCTTCTTATGCTATCCATTATTTTAATGGAATTATTTAAAGTACGTTCTCTTAATTTGATCAAAAATTTTGTTTCCTTTTGTTTTCAAATAATTTCAGTAGCTCTGGTTCCTCCTGGAAACATCATCTCTCTGTTGGGAAATGACTTTTGCATTAAGAGGTCATATCCCAAAAATCCAGGGACTTTTTTTGTCACAGTTTTTGGCCTTGTTTTTCACCCTAAAATATCAGTCACAGAAAGAGCATCTATGTGTGCACACGGAAGCAGGAAGCAAGATTTTATTTTTCATATGTCCCCAAACTGTTGCTTTGCTCTTTACTCAGCATAAAGATATTATGTCTTATCTTTTTTCTGTATTTCTTGTTCCATCTACTTCAGGCCAACTTATTTCCTCCATGTTTTGTTGAGCTTACTTAGAACTTATTTAGGAGAGAAGCATGAAAAGGAAGACCAAAGCAAAGCATCGTGGGATTACAGTGATTACACTCTGAAGGAGGTATTCACAAAAAAAAAGGTCTAGAGCTTACTAATGTTTGAAGGAAAACTCAAATAACTCTGGAATTGTAATATTTACACTTACCTTATGTTGTGGACAGTGATTGGTATTCGAATGAGTTCCACTAATGAGGTTCCACCACCTAACTCCCAAAAATGAGCTACATCTTTAGGCTGCAAAAGAGTTTCTTTATGTTATTTTTAGGTGTGTGTATACATATAAAGATATGGTAAGTTATACTTTATACTCACTGTATTGTGTCTCCTTGCTCTTCTTCCAAAAGTATATTCCAAGGCTAATGTTGGCTTTGGAGACTCTTCCCTAAAGGAAAAGTAACTGAATTTTGTCAAGATCTTCTAAAGAAAGGAAGTTAATTCTGCAGTTACTAAATTGTATTTATCAGTCAGTTCAGAATTTGGCTTAGAGACAGCAGTACAGAGAAGACACTTTTAGACAGGAGGTGTCAGGTAGTGAAGACAGGAGAAGCAGCAGCACCAGCCCAAAGAAATGAGTCATTTCAGCTAACACTGGAGAAGGACTGAAAGGATCACCTGAGAGGTTATTATGGAGGGAAATAAGTTCATTCCTAAGTGCTCAACCAGTCACAGAACACATCTGCATACATGCATTATGAATTATCACACAATATGACTGGTTTTTAATCTACAGCTGAAAACTGCTTTAAAATATTTAACACATACCTCTCAAGGCATCTCATTATGATAGTGGTCTTTCCCTGGAAATTAAAAACAAAGAGGAACTCTGCTGTACTGTCTTTAAAGCATGAAGTTGTATCACTAAGTCAAATTCATTTAACATTCCAATAATAAAGTGCCAGAAAACTGCAAATGCATGTAACTGCTTGCAGCCTTACAGTGGAAACTCAAGTCCAATTTTCAATCAGAATCTAGTTACTCTACCATTATTTTAAGTATAAACTACCAGACATGACAAATATAGTAATAGGAACACTGTACTTAAAACAGACATTAGTGATCAATTAGACCTCTGCAGAATGAGACCATGAGGTATTCTGTCTTTAAAATTAAGTGAACCTTAACATCTGAAAATATGAGATGTTTTCCCTGACACAAATTATGTTTGAAAAGTGTAGAATTGTACAGTACTTAGATTACCCCATTTTTGTTTCCCATAAATAATATTGATTTTTCCCAAACTTCCCCTGGCTTGACATCATCATCGTCGTCAGGATTTTCTTTCTTCTCCACTTCAGCTATAGCAAGATCCCATAAAGTATCACTAATTGGAAGAAAACAAAGCAAGAAAAGAATAATTAGAGAAAACACACACCTTAGGCCCTAATTCCTGAAAATATCTAAATTAAGGTTATTGTAGTGTAGATGATTATTATAATTTCACATCACCTGCTCTCTGCTTGTCGAAATACTTCTAACCAAACCAGCTGAGGTGACATTCCTCAATAACCCCAGCAGCCACTTTTGGCACATACTTAGCACGTACCCGCTGTACAGCGGCAGGCTTTGCCTGGAGTACATTTAATCACAGAATCACAAAATCAATTAGGTTGGAAAAGACCCCTGAGATCATATAGTCCAGCCTGTGACTGAACACGACTAGAACAAGTGCCACGTCCAGGCTTTCCTTAAAGCACCTCCAGGGACGGTGACTGCAGCCCTTCACCCGGCAGGGCACTGCGGTACCGAGACACCTTTCGGAGCCTGTGTGCCGTGCCGGGCTTTCTCACTGCGGTACCGAGACTCCTTTAGGAGCCTGTGTGCCGTGCCGGGCTTTCTCACTGCGGTACCGAGACTCCTTTAGGAGCCTGTGTGCCGTGCCGGGCTTTCCGAGGAGCCTGCGGCAGCCGCCGGCCTCTGGGGCCAGGCAGGGCTCGGAGGGCTCGGGAAAGCTCCGGCCCTGCGCTCGGTGTGCCGGAGAGCTGCTGCCCCCCGTGCTCAGGGCCGCCCGCGGCCCCTGCAGAGCGCGGTTGTGCGGGGTCCCTCACACCAGCAAGCGGACAAGGGCCAAGCGTGCCCCGCCTGCCCTCGGCCCCGCTCGCTTTAGGAGTAGAGGCCGGAACGGCCCGTTTTAGCACTCCTGCCCTCCCTCCCGCTTCCAGGCTGTCCTCCCCGGCCGCCGGCCCCTTCCCCCAGGGCAGCGGGAGCGATCCATGGTCTCCAGCTCGGGCAGGGCTCCCGGTACCTGGCCTTGGGCATCGCTGCGCGGGCCGCGGGCCCGGCTGCCCGTGGCCATGGGAACGGCGCGGGGCACGCCGGGAGCTGTAGTTCCGCGGGGCTCGGCCCTCACAGGGAGGGGCCGTGGGGCGGCTCCGCCCGGGTCTCGCCCGCTGCCCTCGTGGTGAGACCCGCGGCTGCCGCTGTGCTCACGGTTCCGATGCACCGTGCCAGTGCGAGGGCGCTCGGGGGAGCTCTGCTGTAGCCGCTCTTGAGAGGGGACAAAATGCTGCAGCTGTGCAGGGAGTCGGGGATAAGTAAACAACACCTCCGGGAGTCTGATTTGACCTCGGCTCCTGATAAATCCATGGTCCATAATGAGCTTTGTTACCGGCGGGGGGAGTGAAACGAGGCCTCAGTAGTTCCCGCTCCCTGTGAACTGCTGTGTAACACACTGTAAGTGTAGTTATTTTACAAAAATTATTGTGTAATTATTTTATTGTCCAGCGGAGGGCAACGAGGGTGGATGAGGGATTGGAGCATCTCTCTCAGGAGGAAAGGCTGAGGGAGCTGGGCCTGTTCAGCCTCGGGGAGATGTGACAGAGGGAACATCACCAATGTCTGCCAGTGTCTGCAGGGAGGTGTCAGAGATGAGCCAGGCTCTGTCAGTGCTGCTGACCAAAAGGACAAGAGGCAATGGGCAGAAACTGATGCACAGAAGTTCCACCTGAACATGAGGAAGAACTTTACTGTGCAAGTGACTGAGCACTGGAACAGTTTGTGCAGAGGGGCTGTGGAGTCTCCCTCACTGGAGGTATTCAGGAACCAAGTAGACACAATCCTGAGCCCTGTGCTCTGGGATGGCCCTGCTTGAGCAGGGAGGTTGGAACAGATGGCCAACCCTTCCAACCTGACCCATTCTGGATTTCTGTGACTTTGTAGTTACTAGGGGAATACAAAGTAAGACACTGTGACAAACAGGGGCTGGATTATTTCAAATACGATTATCAAAAATCAAGTCCAAAAATGGTGGTCTTGGATTAGAAAGGAGGATTTAAGGGGTGCAGTAGAACAGCAGGATGACCCTGAGTATGAAATGGGCATGGGATGTAGGGGAACCCAACAAGTTTAAAGTGTCCTATAGAGAAGTCCAAAATCCAAGACAGAATCACAGCTCTCTTCTGTGGCTGAGGAGCTGCTTTGTATCTTTAGAGAGTGGAGACAGAAAAACCTGACTGAAATCATTCAGTTACCTGTTTGATCAAAGCCAGGAAAATGGCCTCATTCATAATGATTAACTCAGATTTCATTTTAACTGTTCCTTCTTCCTTACCCAAAGAAGGCTGAGTATCCTAACACTGACCCTAAGTAATGTTCATTCTTCAAATAAGATTCTTTTTTTTCTAAATTTAGCTTGCATAATCACTCAGTTTCAGTTCCAGAACCCTTTATATAGCTATTTTGGTTGTTTTTAATTACTTACAGGTTTTTGCATGCAAATTATCAGGAATTTGTGACCCTCCTCCTATGGAAACCATGGTCTTGCAAATTAAAATCCAGAAAGAAACTTAATTATGTAGTGTTACACAGTGCAGATCATGCTGATGTCTGTCTAAGTGCATTTCTTTCATCAATTTCAGTTGAACAGAACACTTCTGATATTTTGGTATATATGTGAGGCCAGTGCTGATGTGTAATCAGTATCTAGAGGTAGCAAAATCCCTGGACAAAGCTGCCTTTGCTCTGCCAAAGACAGCAAAACCATGGTAGGAATTGCTCCTGGCACTGTGACCTATGCAGGCATTACTGCAACGATGAGAGTATAAAAAGCAAAGTGTTTTTACAGTGATTTATCACTGTCAGAGGTGGCATATCTGGAAGATGCTGCAGTACAGATCTGAGCACAGTAAAAGTGTGTACAGTCAGTAAATGTACTGAAACCTAATCTGGAATTTAAACTGGAGTTTTCAGTATTTTATATTTCACCTTTCTGTGTTTCTTTTGCCCTAATAAACTTTAAAGAATACCCAAAACAACACACACACAAAACTTTCCCCCCCTAATTCAGTATTACTGAGTTACTTATCATCTTAGTTAAAATTAACTCAGACTAATAGATTGCACTAAGCTGTATGGACTATTAAAGCTCTACCTAAAGCTTAAATGGTGCATTCCTTTACACAAGAATGATTTTCTTCCTTCAGAAACCATTAAAACCTAGGAAAACTGACAAGGAACTTCAACATCAAATACCTAGCAGCCTTCTTTCATAGGGAAATATATGCTTTTATTTCAAATTTAAACAAAATTTAAATATAAAATAACAAAACCCATTAAACTTATGGATTGTATTAAAACCTTAAAGCTTTATCCTTTGCCTGGTGGGCTACAGGAATAAATGGGTCTTGCTTGTTCTAGAAATCAGCTGTTCTCTTGCTAACACTGCTGCTCAAAAACTGACAAGGCAAAGTGAAGTTCAAGTAATATATTAATTTACATTGCATTCCAAACAGTCTTCTCAAAACAATGTGATTGTTTGTACAGACATTTGCCAGTGATTTTTCAGTCACTGTCAAGCTCAGATTCATTGATCATTTACATGGATTGTTGATTCTGACCACTAACTCAAAGCAAGCATGAAAGATGTTCTAAAGTTCATGGCAGAAGGTGAAGCCTCCTTGCATGTGCTAACATATTGATCCCACCCTGCCCATATTTTTACAACCTAGGTTCTGCAAGCTTTGAGCAAAGGAAGTTTTCCAGCAACAGTCCCAGAAGCTGCTGCTCTGTGACAGCTCCCACAGACTCATCACTGCTGAGGTGAGACAGTCAGGTTCTGCCCTGCTTTAGTCATGGATTAGGTAGCACAGTAGGAATTCCTCTGGTGCATGGCTTCAGGTTAAGGCTGAGCTCTGGGTCACTCATGAGGCTTGGGCTGGTGGGGAAAGCAGAATTTCTCAGTCCAAGATTATCTGCTTGGACTGAGAAATTTTCAGCCTTGCTGTCTTGTATTGTGGGGTATTCTTTAAGTAGCTCTAGAGCTTGATTACCATGGAGCAAGGCCCTGAGATTTGCAGAGCTGTGTTTGGGAGTGTGTTGCACATCATGAAAGGGACTCCACCTGCTGACCCTGTTACCTTGCAGGGAAGTGTCTGCTGAGGTTACTGTCACTACAGAAACCTCACTCTTGCTGATCAAACTGCAAGCAGCTCCATCGTTTAACACAGGGCTGTCACAGTAACTGTGAGTGCATTTATTTAATAAAATAACTCACCATTTCTGGTCATGTGACTGTGGGGGATTAATGGTGACCTATAATGAACAGTCAGTGAGTCTGGAAAGTCATGCCAAAAAAAGGGATCTAATGCATGAATTGCTTCTGATTACAATGATGTAGGGACATGCTGCAGCAGCAAGAGCTCAACAGAAAAAAGCAAAGCAGTGTCTATAGAGTTTCCTACACAAAGGCAGGCAGGAAGGTCACACTCTGCTCATAGACTGTACAGGGCTTTATAAAACAACTGTTTGTAATGTTGTTAATGAAATCTCCAAATGTGCACATCAGCTGTTTGTATTGTTTATCATGTTGCTCAAAATTCAACAAAGAGTTTTAAAACTACATTATCAAGCTCACTAGCAAAATGCTCCACTTTTTTTCCCTTCTAATAACAGAAGGTGATCTGCCACATTCATTTGAAATTGGTCAATTAGGAAAGACTACTAGTTGGAGTATTCCAGGTTATCATAATTTCATGATTACAAGAAGACTTTAGTGCTTGTAAGTTGAAGTTTTTAATCATATTTGAGCTTTATACTGTAACCTAGCTGATACAGTAACATGTTTGTATTTGTAAACAGCCTTACCCCCTCAAATCTGAAAGTTAATTATTCTGCTGATTGCAAGGGGGTGTTAATTCCTGAATGAATTTCACCATGGGATCTGTATCCCTCCCCATGGGGTGCAACACAAGAAGTAATGCCATTGGTCTCTTGGGGCTCCCAGGATGCTTCCCTGGATGATGGCAGGGCCTGGCTGCCTGGGAGGAGGTAAAACCTCCTGCTGCTGGCCCTGCCTCATTGAAAGGGAAGGGTCTGGTGCCCCAGCCAGCACCAAAGGGTGGAAGGTACCAGGAAGCCCTTTCCACCTTGCAGAAGTGAATGCATCTGGATACAGTATGTGAGTTGTTTGGTTGTGATTTTCAAGAGGAGGCATTGGCTCATGCATTCATCACGTGGTGCTTGAGTCCTGTGCACTTCAGTAGCTGTGGCAGGACTTTGGGAGCTTTCTAAAGAAAGCCAGCCTGCCTGTCTGCCTTTCCCCTTTTTGAGACCATGTTCTCTTCATGGCCTGTATCTCCCTTCCAATCTATTTTATTTCTTTAGGAGAATACTGTATCCCCTGCTTTTAACAGAGGGCAAAAAGCTGAAAATATCTCTCAGTATGAGCATTTGAAATGTTTAAAGAACATAAACCAACGATTTTTCATTGTGAAATTACTTCAGTTTAAGTAATAATCAAACAAAAATCAATGAGGACTGGGTGTAAGGGATTAATGATCCATGATCATTAACATGAGCCAACATGGAAACTGTAAAATGTCCATGAATCAGTGATTTATGTTTGAGTACCTTCTTCATAGTTGTACCTAAATTATCTATGAGAGAATGGTGCTGATCCATTCTGGAGCCTGCAGAAGTGGTTTATTTGCATTGGAACAAAAAGAGGACTGGAAGAAAAGCAATGGATGTAATTTCTATACATTTGACCTATGTAGCACTGAGGCTTGCACCTGAAAAAGGCAACTGGAAAATGCTCCTAGGTCCAAGAGTGCAGATGCAGCATCATGTATGTCTTCAGTGTGCAAGAACATTATATTAGTATTAGAACAGGAAATGTATAGATACAAATTAAAAACAAGAAGTAAATATTATTCAGACCCAATGTATATACATTATACATATTGTACACAGATTTTAGGTCTCCAAGTTTACTCACAACATTTTATGTCAACGGTTTTCTGTGTTGTTCTTGTGTTTTGAATTGTGAGTCATTCTTGGCATCTGAATTATATTATTATTGGATTAAAG